CCGTGCAGTGATACTATGAGGGGGGCAGAGAGAGCGTGCGTCTCCAACTGAGGATGATTTGCAAATCAAGAGGCAGAGAAAAGCAAAGGCACCACGTATATTGTACCGTAGTCATTAATACACCTACAGCAGGCTGTGGATTGTGCGTATCGTGGCGAGAGGGCAGCTGCGAGGCGCTCATCTTTCATTTTAAGGACTTGGGCTGGCAAGAAAGCTCTATTAAGGGTGAAGAGCCATGGGAATACGTAGCAAGGTATTCCCAGATCTGAGCAGGAACCGGCGGCAAACCTGTCAGGCAGAGAAGCAGCAGCCGGGGCGATTCGCATCAGTCTATACGCTTGATTTCAGTGGGGCAGCTCAGCCCTGGAGCCTGCAGCCGTTCGGAGGACTAGCCGGCAGGGCCGGATTCGTGCTTAATAATCCTCCTTCACAAAAAAGTCCCTGCCCTGCCCGACATGCACCCGAGGACTCGCCGGAGCAGAGCCGAGCCTTATTGCGCTTCTTCTTCCCTTTGCAACATAGCTGTCGAGTCATCAATCGGCGGAAAGATGTATTAATCACCCCTGAATGTCAACAGAGAGTGGCTTTTTAAGGACGTCACCTTCTGCCCAGGTCTTGCATCTACCTCAGCAAAGGTGTTTATGTTTTGCAATCGGAGCAACTGTGCAGAGAAACCTTGCTAAATAGAAAAATTAAGCCAGCTTTCGGTCCCCACCTCTCTTTAGGCAACCTTCCCCAGCCTCACTGATAGATTCCCATGGTTGCTGATGCTATGAAAAGAACCTCCGAAACAGTGATGCATTTTATTTAATCATCAATGAAGAGGGGGAAAAAAAAAATCCCCAAAAAAACCAACTACCTGAGAGTGTCCTAGTTTCACCGGCCGGTAGCTGGCAATACTGAAGGAAATTCCAAGCTTCTGGCAGGATGCAGCTGCTCTACTTTTCAGGCTGGTTTGCCTAACTATGCTGAAAGCTCGCTGCCAGCGGAGCCTACCCTGCTGTCAAAAACCACAGCAGGCGCAACCCAGTAAAGAAACTGGTTTGCACGGCAATTCCCTGATGCCCCAGTAAGCAAGGAATGAATACAAGTCTCTACAAGATGCCAAACCACGGTGTTTACTCTTGATCACACAGCTACGCAGGCCAACAGCCCACGGTAGCCTCCATCGAGGAGGGAATAGTTATAAAGCATTTTGGGAAGACAAAAAGTGGGTGGAAGGTTGAATTTTCTACCAAACTCTGTACTGGGAGGCGATGGGTGATTTGTAAGAACAAAACCAGCCAGGGGCTTAACGTGGCATTGAACAGAAGGCCAGGTCACGGCTAGAGCCTCCCGCTGAGGGCAAACACACCTACAGGTTCCTTCCTCTGGAACTGGGAGGAAAATCCCATCCCAGCCGCTGCTCAGGAGGATGGAAAAAGATGTGGATCAACTGCCTGCAGAGACAGAAGAACGGCTGTCCAGGAACAGGCAGCAGGGAAACGGATATCCCGGCAAGGATGGGGATGTTGTAGAGCAGCTAGCAGCAAACAATGAAAGCCAAATTAAGGGGAAGGGGTTAGCTCATCTGCCCACACCATGCCAGAAGAGGTTATATCCTGCTACAGAAGAGTCTTTAAAACATTTTTTTCAGACTCAAATAGTTAACCGCGCCTCCCCAGGGCCTCCTGGAAGCAGTGGACTGGAAGAAATCTTCCCTAAATATCCCTTATTAAACACTTCATTGCATGGGGAATAGGCACGACAGGAAGACGGGGCGGAGGCGGGGAAGCACGCTGAAGAGCATCTCAACTCATTTCACTTAGTGTTCGGTGCCACACAGCGACTACAAAGCCAGCTGCGAGTCAGAACCACGGCACTGAACCACTCAACCAGGGGCAGACAAGCTCAACAGCCCACAGCGAGGACTGTGGGGCACAAAAGCACGACAAGCCACACGGCAGGCATGAGGAAGGCTCCGTTCTGCTCTCACCTCTCTCCTTCCTGGCAGAAGAGAGATGGCTTTGACAAAAGCCACATTTCTACATTCCTGGTGGCTTTGCAGGTCAGTCCTGGGGCTAAAGTCGCGGTCTGTACTTCGGACTACGAGATCCTGTAATTGCAAAGTGTTGGTTCGACCTCAGCATCTGAAAAACACCCTGATTAACATGACTGTCACCCTGACTGAGCACTGCTGGACAGCTCTTCACACCCTCACACGTGCCGGACTTCCTCTGACTGCATCCTCTGACACCAGAGCGTGCAGCTTCCCCTACCAGACAAAAAAGAAAACAAACCCCATAGATCTTTAATTTGCTCAACACATGCAAATTTATTCCAAGGAATCCTTCAAAATCTGCCGTCATGACACCCCTCCCCAAACAAGCCCTTTCCAGTCTCAGTTCCCCTCCTTCTTACTCCTGTGCAGACCGCTTCTTGCAAAACACTCGGTATTTTTGCCTCTCATCCCTCCGCGATGGCCAGTAGTCACTAAGCGAACGCACACGGTCCTGGTTCATAACCCACCGCACGCATGCTCAACAGTTGCTCCACTCCCGGGGAGCTCCTCACACCGAGGAGCAAAGTAACGGGCAGCTAAAATATCCTGGAAGTTGTAACATCAGCAGCTGTTAGAACCACTGTGTACTCTCCAAAACAAGAGGCTTCCTCCACACGTAGAAATCCTGGCAGAATAAGATGAAACAATCATCCCCACCAAATATACACGTATCGCTCTCACCCCATCCAACCAACCGTTAAGTCTTACACAATCCTCGTAATTCCCAGCGCTGCTGAGGGAATTCCAGCTGCCTCCAGACATCCACTGAACTCTTGGGTAGAAAAAGCCTTCCTTTGTGCTCAAAGTGGATGGCTAGCATAAAAAAGCAGCTCCCCACCTCACACACACCTCTTGATACGTTAGAGGTTGTCGTGTTTTCTTTTAAATGCAGGGATTGACCCCATCTTTTATCAGTAAAAGTCACAGCACTGCAAACTCTCAGTGTTTAATACTCCCGTGTTTGGAATGGTAGGTATGGAGGCGTTTGAACGTGGAGAGCGCTGCCAATTCAAACGGGCAGCCCTTAATCACCCTGCAAAAACAACCCAAGACACTAACAGCCTCAGACAGCTAACAGTTCGTGACGGGGATCATGAAGCATGAATTTATAAGCTTTAGAAGCAGAAACACCTTGACATGGCTTATTCTTAATGAAAGAAAAAAAAAAAAATCCCTGCTGCTGCTCTGCACAGAGCTGTTCATCTGCTGATGTCATTCCCTTTCCACTGCTATGTCACACTGCCACCGAGATAAAATTAGGACCTGACTTACAGGGCAAGTGCCAGAAGCACTACAACAACCCAAAGGCACGAGCTCACAGCAGAGGCAATTAGACTTGGCATTTGAAGACATCACGCTGCACGTACCCAGTAGCTGGGCAGGTCACACCCTACAAAAAACAGTTATTAATCTTCTTAGGAGGCTCTCCTAGCTTTCATTTCCCAAACAAACTTATTTATATAACCAAAAACTAAGCCTCATTTACACCCCTGTTAAAACACCCTCCCCAAAGATTAGTGAAGAATCTCACCAAACTATTTTTAGTGCTATTATGTCTAGATACTAAAAAGGACCCAAACAAACAGCATGAAGAAGACACTGTTCTTTGACATTTAAGCCACATTTGTAGATGAAGACGTAATGGAAACTGAACTCCAGCCCCATCACAGCCATCCTTCCCACCATTTAACCCTGAGAAAAATAGCAAGGATCAATAAAGTACCTCCTGGATAGTGGTTAGACACACACTAAGACACAAACCCGACACTCTTACGCTCTGTCATCTTAAGTACGAACCCCACCAAGTTAGCTGGTAATTTTGTGATGTTATTAGCAAGTTGGAGATAGATGCTCCCCCCCCGACACCCCCAGAAATGTGCCCTTCAGGAAGGGACGCCCCTACAGAGGTCGGCTACTATGGATCACAGGTTCACGTGGGGTCTAGGCACCATCCCAAGCAAACTCGGTTCTCCAGCGTGTTGCAAAGCAGAGAAAGAGGCCCAAGTCAGCCCTAGCTGTTGTCTAAAGAACTTTGTTGGAATAACTATAATGCGTCAGACACGTAGGAAGAGCTATCCTTCCCATCCCTGCCAGCAGAAGGTCTCTAAATAGACTAAACAACAGCAGCTCCAAGCTCTGCTGATACAGGGGAAAGGAACAACAAGATAACTGCTGGCTATTTTTTATTTCAAGTTTAGTGAGTAACCACAACTGAATGTTTGAAGGAAAGCAGAGACTTGGGCTTCCAACAAATCCCTTGCCCTAGGAGGATATTCCCCCCCACACACACCTCCAAAATGAGGTTACTTTGCAGACATTGAGAGGAGATACCTACCAGAGCACATGATAGTCCCCAATAAAGGAAGCTCTGCTCTCCTATAAATTTGATAACATTTCAAGTACACAGCCCTAAAAAAAAAACAACCCATTAACCACATTCTTTGATGTATTTACTGGAGATTACTCCTGAACACAACCTTCTACCCTCACTCACTCAAATAACGTGCAAGATCAAACCCAGAAAGAGGG